TGAGCTGCTCTCCAACCACTTTTCTCCAGGTCTGTATCTGTTTCTGGCATTAGTCTGTCCCATGTGCAGCACCTGTCAACTTCATGCCTAAAAGATTGCCTAATGGTCAGGCAGTACAATAAAAGTTCCAACAAAACAAGCTTTTTGAACCTCAGTCCTTGGGCCTCAAATTCTGTACAAAGCTTTTTACGTTTTAATAACAGTAGCAATACTTTATTATAGGACTGTAGGGATACAAATAGAGGGAGGCTTGAGCACTTGAAACTCATCTGTTGCACAGGAAAAAAAAAAATCACATATATTCATGAGAAACATTCCTTCTTACAAACTTTGCCTTCCAAGGTATTCTGTGGGTATTCTGCAGGCAAATTCAATAGAGTTATTGTCCAGGCTGACTGAAGGCACGATCCATAGCACACTGAATCACACAGGAGGTTAAAAACACTAGACAATATTTACTAACATAGGATGACGTATTTGTTCTGGGAAGAGAACATTCTCTACTTTAAACTTGTTCAGAAAATTCTGAGGCAATATTTCAAACTCTGAAAGTGTAGAGAATATGAGAAAGGTTTCATTGCATCTGTGAGTAACAGGGTGATTTACAGAAGAAATATTTCTTACATAGAAGTAGGCCTTCAACTTCTGTCTCAGTGCTCTGCATTCCTGCTTCTCTCCAAGCAGCCCCTATTAACTGCTTTTCAGGAATAATTCAACAGTTACTTCTGCTCTGTCTTTTACATTTTTTCCTTTAGGAAACAGCTGTGATCTTCATTGTTTGATTGCAGAACTGTGAAAGAGACTATTTTAAATTGAAGAAAAGGAACTACCTTACTCCTTATTAATTAATATCACCTGGGTCTTGTCTCAAGCTGGTGAAATAACTTTTGCAGAAGAAAAAAGACACTTCCTGTTGCCATTAACTCATCTTTATATGTCAAAACTTGTCATGGCAAATTAAAGTTTTTTAAGAAAACAAAGGGTTTTAGTTGGATAGCATGATAATCCTACAAAGTACCCCTTACTGGCCTTTCTTTATCCCCTAAGCGGTTGCCTAAGTGCATCCACAGTTATCCCATCTCTGAGAATTTGCTTGATTTACTCATACGTTTGTGTGACTACTTGCTTGTATTGCCCTGAAGGAGTCTCATTCTGTTGCAGCTGCTTCGGTGACTTCAGGAAGCATTCTTGGCAAGTACATTGATACATTCTGAGAAACAGCAAGATCAGTTGTCATTACGGTGTCTTTCCTACCTCAAGACAACTTTATTTTTTAAGCTTACTTCATGTGGTCTGTAAATACTCATACCTAGTAACCTCATGATGTTTCCTTCCACCCAACTCTACAGCCAGCCCAGGTCTCACTGACTGGCATCGCTGCCCTCTGGTATGTCAGTCACTCCTTCGATCTTTGCACCCCAGCTTTGCAGAAGATGCATTCTATCCTTGCATCCAGGTAATTGATGAAGATGTTGAATAAGACCAGACCTAGGATGGACCACGGGGAAAATATATTATGAAGCACGTGATGCTTTTATGAAGCCGTGTACTTCACACGTGTAGACATGACAGACATCTTTTTGACTCTTATTAGTAGGTTGTTTTAGTGCTTTCATTTTAAATGAGCACAGCTCTGTTAAGATGCAGCTTCTTTATTTAATTAATACTCTGATTTTAAAGATTAGGATCCTATGGAAGGCATATTATTATTCTGTGCAGCAGCTTACTTCAAGCTCATTTATTTTCATCTCTGTATTCTTTGTGAATGTCAGTTTTGTTTATTCAGAGTAGATAAATCTGCCATGTGGTAAATGATAAAAGGGAGATGGTCAAGTATGTTATCTTTCTAACCCTCTGTGCCTTGTCAAAATTATTGTAAAAATATTGAAATACTTTGATGGAAAAAGAATAATGTCTTGTTTTGTTCTGTGGAACACTGATGAATTCCATATAGAATACTATTAGTCTAGAAATTAGATATGCCAGTGTACTATAAAGAAATTCATTTTTGAATACAATGCTCCACATAAAAATGAAAAATACTATTTATTATAACATTTGGCATTTGAATAGAACTTTTCTGAGTCTCTAAACATTTTATTAACATTTATTAAGTAAGGCTCACGACACATTCTTTGAGGTAAGCAATTCTACTTCCATTAAATTAAGAAAAAAGATAACAGCATGAGGATATGGTGATTAGTCAGAATCCTCATCATCTCCCTTTTCTAGTCTCCCTGCTTTGATTTTGAGACCACATTCCTTCATATCCTGAAAATGAACAACATGTTCTAACTTGCCAAAGCAAAGTTAAGATTGAGTTTATGCTGGGACACTTGTATAATTGAAAAAAATTGGTAATATATGTTTTCTCAGATTGTACTCTTTTCTGTTCTATTATATGAAACAAAATATTCCATTAACAGGCCACTGGATGATGATCTTCTAAATTTCTTTTAATTGAGAAAGATATTTCTTAGCATAAGAAATATAGGGACCTTTCATATGTAAAAACGCTTTTTTTCAGATTAGTACATATTCATAGGTTTGCATCTTTTTTACAGAACATATCTAATGACTCTAGATGTTCCATACAGAATTTCAGAATGTAGTAGCAATTATCTCACTAATTCATTGGGTATAAAAGGTTTGCTATGACAACAATAAAGTAGGAAGTAGATTGCTTGTTGTAACATCTTTTCTCTTGCAACTGAATTGATCTTTTACCTCTTAAATACTTCTGATTAGTCAGGTGCTAGTGTGCTCATGCTATTTTAAAAATACAGATTTTACTAAGAAAATAGTGAATTAATTTGCTGCCAAACAGTTTTGGAATCGCATATATCTTTCTCAGAATGTCTCCATAATTTGCTTGGCCATAGCTTCTACTTGTGAATGTGAGTTTGAGTACATGAGTGCCTCAAGGAGAGAATGAATTTGATAATGGGATGAGGAACAAATCCAGATGAATTAATAGAGGTATCTTGTAAAATTATTGCTTGTTCAGAAAGCACATTTCTCAGCTGATTGATTAAAAATAACATATTACTGTTTCAAAAGAATGATAACAATAATTAGCAAAGGATTTCTTATGTTAATAAAACTATTAATTCCTACTAAGCCTTCTGTTTACATGTGTAGGATTATAGACTAGAGCCTTATAAATAAATTGAATTATGTGCTTCACTTTTGCAAAAGTATTTCAGAGTCCTAGATTTTATGGAATCTTTCTAAAAAGAGATGTCTCTAGGTGAACTGAGAAATGGATGGTGTCTTTCCATGAGAACATCTGTGAAACAGATTTTTAGAAGGAACAGTTTAATTATCTGCCTTACTCCTTTTCAAATGTAGTCCAAGGCAAGGCAGTTCAGGGTATTCTGTGCAATAAATATTGCCTTATAAGTATTAGGATTTGATGGACTTTCGAGACAGAATAACCTACCACATTATATCCAGGTCCTTTTGCCTCATTCTAGCAGACCTATGCTCAAGGCTCTCTACCCCAAATTACAAATGATATTCCATGCTGGTCTTATATATTTCTTTTTATTTGTTTGATTGTTTTGTGCTTCGTTTTTGTTTTTAATTATATTGCTTGTTTGTTGAGGGGCCTTAAGAAAGAATCCTTTGTTATGTTTTTCCTTTCCTTCTGGTAGTAGTCAGGAAAATTTCTAAAACATGTGGCTTATACTGAGCAGCTGAAAATAAACAAACAAGCAAACAAACAAATAAGAGCTGGATGTGCAGTCACCTAAAGTAAGCAGGAATATATACTTGTTACCTCTGTTGTTACCATAACAATCTTGTTAATTGGTGCTGGAACAGCTGTCCAGAGATGTTGTACTTGCTCCATCCATGGAGGTGTTCAAGGCCAGGTTGGATGGGGCCCTGGTAGCCTGGTCTAGTATTAGACATGGAGGTTGGCAGCCCTGTCTGCAGCAGGGGAGTGGAATTTTATGATCCTTTCCAACCCAAGCCATTCTATGATCATAATACACTTTGTACTGGTTCCCTCACTACATTTATTTACATAGCTCAAATAGACTAGTTCTAATTGATTGGCTACTAATAAGTAATCAATAATATTGTCCTATTTGAAGGAATCCCACAACCCTGTTGTTTTGGGAAAGTCTATAACTTTAGTTTTTCTAAGGAAAGGAGAGAAGAACGGAGGGGAGGTGAGGGGAGGGGAAAAAGGAAAAAAAAAAAAAAAAAAAAAAAAAGAAAGAAAAAAAATCAGTAACATTCATAGAATCATAGAATCACAAAGTTGGAAAGGACCTACAAGATCATCTAGTCCAACTGTCCTCCCATTACCATTGTGACCACAAGCTACTAAACCATATCTTGTAACTCCTCATACAGACACTTCAAACTCTACAAGGGATGGCAACTCCACCACCTCGCTGGGAAATTTTCAGTGACATTCTGGTGCCAGGGAGCCATTCTGTTTGTACTTCACATTGGCAATAAAAAGGCAGAAGCAGTACTGTGAACTGATTATCATCTCAAAGTAATAGGAAATTAAGTCATAAAGACTATCCAAATGCATAAGGATTAGAGAAAAGAACATTAAAAACTAGAAAGGATATGAAAAGTGAAAGAAAGATTGAGCTGTAGAGTTGTTTGTCACAGTTTATACCATGAATGCATAAATAGTACAATAAAAATGGAAAAATACATGAAAAATACTAAGAATAAGATCAGCCTAAAAATAGAAGGGTTTTTATTTATAATACTTTCAGTTATCTTAGAGAAGGAGGTGTTTTTACATCTGACTGCGGACTGAAGTTTTATCTAAATAATGAGCATCTTGTTCTCACTTATTTGTCCAAGTAATGTAGTGCCTCTGGTCAAACAGGGATGTACTTCAGGTGACAGATGCTCACTTAGCAACTTCTTTACCCTCTCTATGACAACATGACAGGGGAGCAAATACTATGAAAAACTGCTGGGTTGAGATAAATATGTGGAGATCACTCACCAGTTACCATCAACAGGTAAAACAGATTTGACTTGTGGAAAATTAACTTCATTGATTGCCAATTAAAATAGACAGGAATGATGAGAAATAAGAAGTGAAAGCATCTTCTCCCAGGCCCCTGCAGCCCTCTGCACAGAGCTGGAACACCTGCACACAGATGTACAGTGTGCAACTCAGGTAAGTTTTTAAATTAATGTAGTATCTTCAGAAAGATTATCTGTTGATAACTTATGTCATATTGCAGCTGTCAGGAAATTAAAATTAAATTTTTAAAAAATAATAAGTAGAAAAATATTTCTTTTTTAGTTTCTGGTGTTATTCCATTTGGTAGGATTAAAATAAATGTGTAAGTTGTTGGGTTTATTTAATAAAAATTTAATTTTTTTAAAAATATATTATTGAGATTAGCAATGCTCTAAGGCCAATTTAAATTTCTGTGGTAATTTTATAGAATTGTCCAGTGGAAGTCTACTCTTTTCTGTGTTCTTTGCTTTTTATTTTTATCTTTCATTGTGTGTGTAAATTCAGTATGCGTATTTTTGACCAACTACAAAAGAAAGCACCATATCTTTCTGAAAGAACAGGAAGGATTAACTAGTCCACTGGAGATTTTCAAGTGTTTATTTTCATAAAAGAATTCTTTTTTTTCTGTGCCTCTGTTGGAAGATTCTCGTCTGGAATCTCTAACCTTAGTATTGCAGATTTGCTTGGCCTCTCTGTTGACAAAATGCTGTGCTGATCATAGTTAATGTTTTACTTTTGTAAAGGTGGTTTTTGTCTATGTTGGAGAGTAATATCCACTATAAAGGTCACGACTTGTGAAGATGCATGAAGTGAAGTGAGTGGCACAAAACAGTAGGTAGCAAAGCATTGTACAATTCAGTGAACATCAAGGTCAATTACTTCATATCTACTTCTAGTTCAGCACAGCTGGACTGAAAAAAAATCGTAATGCTTGACTGGCATGCTGCAGCAGCTTAATGCAGAATAATAATGGAGTTTAAATCTCCAGTTTATGAAAAAGTGTCATTCTGACTTGGCAAGCATAGAAATGAGAAGCAAGCTGTCTATCAGAAAGGAATTGAAAAGTATTAGTAGAACAGAAAGGAAGGAAAACAGCAAGAAGCATGCTGCTTATTAAGCTGTGACTGCCATCCTAGTTTTTCTTACAAATTTTCATCTTAAAACAAACTGGTCAGACCACTACAGTAATTTTTTTTTAATATTTGAATGCTGCTGGTAGCTTTTTGAAAAGCCAAATTACTTTGGTAATGAATTCGCAAATATCCAGCAGTTCAAAAGTTCAGTTACACTAATAACATCCTTTAAAATAAATGAGTGTTGTGATTACCCACATTACTTCAAATACTGTACTTCACTGCAAAATAATTAGAAGCAGTAAAGGTTAACTTCCTAAATGCAGTAAAAAATATGAGGTAGTAGTTCAATAAGGAGAAAGATAACAGAAAAAGTCAAAGAGAAATTTGGCATGGGTTGATAACAGGACAGAAAAAAGCTCAACGCATTTCTTCAGGATCTTTATAATGATATGAACCTGTCAGGTAAAGCCATATCTATCCTTTCAAAAGCTTTGCAATTTCAAAAGTTGACAAGAACAGTTAGAGAAACACAATGCATTTGAGATATTTTTCCAAAATTTTGTATCATGTCTACTGCTACAGACATTTTAATGTTTGTATGCAAATACCTGAAGTTATATTAGAATGTGGAAAATATTTTGAAAGAATATTTTTGACACTATATAAAACACGTTATCTACACTAAATTTGAGAAAGCTACTGTAATTTAATGATTCTTAGGTAGTCATATATGTTTTAGGAGAAATTCTAAGGTATTTTTTGGACAAAAAAATAAGTTACAGATTTTTTTAAAGGATTTATATGATATTATTTTTTATGCCTTAGACAATCAGATATTTTATCTCAAACATGTAAAATATGAAGGTTCTATACTCAGAAAAATATATTCTATGCATCTTAGGGAATTCTTTCCAACAAACCTATTCAAATCTGACTTGCATGACTTTACATGTTCACTTTTTCTTATTTATAGGATAATGAAACTATGGTAGATTCCAATCCATCTGCCTCAGAGATGGGAGTATCTAGAATGGATGTATCTGCCATTAACATAATATTTACTTTCATAGTTTCAAATGATGAAAATTGTTTATTATTATTTCATTATTGTATCAAATAATGAACTTGAATTTGCTTTCCTTGATGAAAAACTACAAAGTTTGTGAGTAAGATATTAAAATCTCATTCTTTTAGACAGAGGATAGTTATTGAGTTGGTAAGGGAAGAATTGTTTCCCATGTAAATACAGTAATTTACACTTGGCTTTTTGCAAAATGAGACTATTCTTTACTGTAGTAGATGCTGCCCTTTGCTGCAAGCATGCTGCCAGATTAAATGGATAAATGGTCTAATCTAGTGTGGCAGCATTCCTAAATTGACTGAAACAAAATTAACTTTAGTACTGTTACCGGTGTACTTGGCTGTTGTGTCTATAAAAATGCCCTGGGAAAATTATGATTGACTGCTCTCAAGAAAGCAGCTCTAACACAAAGTGTAAGGAACACAGGAAAATAAGATAAGAATGGACAAAATTGTTTATTCTTTCAGTTACTTGGATGGCAATGTCAGCAATTTCTGCTATTCTCATTCTGTCTTTTTCAACAAACACAGAGTTTTGACAAGCTGACATTCTATGGGTTCGACTGAATCCAGCTGATCTTTCCTCTTCTATGTAATACCTTTTTTTTCTCTGTCGTCAGAAAAGTAAACATATTCTCCATTCAAAATTTGTATATGTGGTAAAGTTTACTCATAATTATGTTCTTTCTTATACCAAGATTTCTGACAGTTAATCATTTTCACCCCTCAAAGTACAGTGTAATGGACACCAAAAGATAAGAAGGGGAAGCTACAAGCAGGTTTTCTTCTGAGCTTCAAAGCAGCACATTTTAGCTTGTTACCTGTGGTAGAGATTATGAAGCACATAAGCTTTTAATTATATCAATTGCTTCTCTTTTTTTTTTCTTTTTTTTTCTTTTTTTTTTTTTCTTTTCCAATGTAAGTCAGTTTCAAACCATATAAAACAGTAAGAATGAAATTCAATGTCATCAATTTGCTAAACTTTCACACACAGGAGATTGTTTTAAAAAAGTATAATATAGCTCTCTTTTCCTTCTGCAATTTCTTTGAAGTTGCTAGAAAGTAGCTTTACATCGGGTTAGGAAAAGAGCAATATCTTTCTAGATAATCACATTAATTTACTTTTCAACAGCAGATTATCTAAGATCTCAAATACTAGAGGATTTTCAGTAAAAATAGAATTTTAGTTAGCCCCTGAGAAGAAAGGTCAAGAAGATCTATCAAATGAGTGAACAGATTTTTTTAGTATTAGAACAGAAACAATACGAATTTCAAGGATTGCAAGTGGTTGGCCTATGCACTGAGGGAAGCAGGGTCTGTAAGTATCTCAGAGGTCTCTCGGTGCAACTACAGCTCTGAAACAGTTCAATCATTTACACCTTTGTGCAGATTTTTTGTCCTATAGATATGCCTTTTTCCATAGCTAAAATGAGTCAATTGCTTTAGAATATATTAAATTAGTTTATGTAAGTTTTTGTGGTTTATACTGGGTAATTTACATTATATAGTTTTGTTTTTTTTTTTCAGAAAAATAGCCCACAACATTCTCATGTATAACCTAGGAGGGAAATATGTGTTTCATATTATCTTTGGTAGACAACAGCAGACATCTTAGAGAACAATCTGCAGCCATTAAATAGGCTAGTAGAGGTAAGTTTCTACTTCTAGTAGAAGTGAGGTAGAACATAATGAGAACATAATGTAGAATGAAGTAGAAACTTAGATATAAGGAAAATCTCTTAGAGTGAGAGTGGTGAGGCACTGGAACAGGTTGCCCAGAGATGTGGATGCCCCATCCCCCGACACTTTCAAGACGAGGCTGTGGATGTTCTTGTTCATTGCAGGGGAGTTGGACTACATGACCTTTAAAGGTCTCTTCCAACACTAAGGATTCAATCACTTTGTGGTTTTATGATGAACTCTAACTACATTCTACCTGTATTTTCTGCCAATGGTACATCATTCCTTATGTAGTCACACTGAAACCTTCTATGAGCAGAATTATATTGTTAAATGTAGAAGAAATGCAACAAAAACATTTATGTATGAACAGATACATTTATATTATGTTGAATTTCAGCTAAGGACATTTAAATAACCATAATGAAGTTGACATTAATTTTACCTGAGCAAAGACTAGAGGATTTAACCACCTAGATGTAAACTTTCACTAGTAGATAAACCAAGTAAAAAAAAAAAGTAGAGCTATTTGAGGAGGAAAAAGTGGTAGTTACCTATCTCTCCAGAAGTAAGCAAAAAGCTCAAGCAACCTGCTATTAAACTATTAAACAAACCCTTAGGTTATAAAATGAAGGTAAATCCATTCCACATTACTTCATGTCCTTTTTTGAGGTTGAAATACCAATAAGTGAGAGTGATGGATCCACTGGGTACCTTTCCAAAGCATATTACCCTCTTGCGTGTATACTACTGGCATTTTTGCAGTGTGTGGGAAATTATAGCATAGCAGCAGTAGCAAGTTTATAGGTAAGATCAAGGGACTCTGAATATTTCAGGACAGTGAAGGAACACCTGTGCTTTGTGGAAAACCTGCAATTGGTGCTAGAAATTTTTAGCTGCAACCTCTTCACATAGGAGTGGTCTCTGTGGTATACTTAAGAACTTTAGCATAGTAAATATATGTAAATATGCTTCAAAATGCTAGATGACCAAAGTTTTTTAAAATATTGAAAGAGTCTGAGGATACATCATAGGGTTTTGTCTTGATTTGCTTTTTGAAATGTAATAGAACTGGAGAGATGATAATTAAAAAGACTATAGAATTTTGTAAAAACCAACATGAATCTTGATTTTAACTGCACGTAATGTTCTCCAATATGTTAACATAATTTTGTGAAAAATACTATCTTCTGGGGCACTGCAATCCTTACAGATTTGGTGATAGTGTTTGCAGCTTAATGGCTGACCTGAATGAAGGGCAAATCAATTTGTATTGTTTGGAAGAGAAATGGAAAGACTGTATTAAAGGGATGTTCC